CGGGTTGAACCATTTTCGCTTGCGTGTTGGTTTAAAAGAATTGGGATGACTTAGATTGTCGTCCCCACAGACGGCGCCAAATGTTTATGCAAGGATATGCACAACAGTGTATTTCAGATTGCAGCTCGAACTCGGCCTCCGAACCGATCTGAGTACTTGGGCGGACCTGCACAAAAAGGTGAGCACTCCGACGATCAAGTCAGTATAGGTCGGATTCCCAATTTAGTTCGAGGTCAGAAATCATCGTACCTGATCGTGAAGTGAGGTCCTCTACTTATGGGTGGTAGTCCTGCTAATCTCGCGACGGTTACACCCGATAATCTCGGGACCGTCGGTTACACTCGGTAATCTCGGGACCGACGGTTACGCCCGATAATCACGCCGCTGACAGTAGCTCACATCGGCCGCCACTGAGCATCCCGGTAGATCGGACCTCGGCCAGGTTCACCTCGGCCCTCATACTTAGCATCTGTCAACGCTAGTGGTGGTGATCTCGACGGTCCGAGCTGGGCGTGACTCATGAGTCACCTTGGATTACCAATAGGGGTCCTCCACGTGTCCAGGGTATTCTCTTCCCCCAACACACCAAATTTTCTTTAATGGGTAAGAGGTTGTATGTCTAGGATTCTTGTTTCAGTACTTTATTTCTAAACCTACTTCCCATTTTAACTTGAGGAAATTCATTTTACCCTAATATTTTCAGTACTAGGTTAAAACTAGAGCCTAGTTAATGCTTAAGTAGCTAGATTTAAGAATCGAGCAAATCAATCAAGCCAATCAATGGAGCGCTTGGCGCTCTACTTCCTCAACAATTATGTTTATTTATAAATTGGTTAGGGCATATACAGAAGGATTAGATGATAATTTAGATCATGTTTAAAAGAGATAAAAGAATGAAAAATAAGAAGAAACACAAGTCATTTTCATTAAGAAATAGGTGAGGGTTTACATCATGTAAAATGAAATAACAAGCTGGAATTCCTAAATCTCAAGAGTTTGCAAGATCTAGCTTTACCCTTTCTCTTTCGAGCTGATGGGAGTAAAAACAAGAGAAGGAGCGGATGGGAGTAAAAACAAGAGAAGGTTCAATAATTACACAAAGCTCAATCTCTTGAAGAAGCTCACAACACACTCTCAATTTCTCTTTCTTTGATTGACTAGATCAAAATATAAAAGCAAAAACAAATAATTCTAAGTATTATGGAAATGAAGAACAAAATTAAGAATGAAAAACTAAAAGAAAGACTATTGGGAAAACTAAGCTTAGAATCTGGCAAAAGGATTTGCAGAAAGGCTTGATCAAAACTTTTTCGTAGTTTGTGTTTTACAATTTTATGGAATTCACAGGTTCAAAAACAGACTATTTACTTACAATATGCAACAAAAACCACTGTTTTACTAAGTTATGGAGGAATAATGAAGCTTTCACAATGAATATTCACAACTTTAACTAAATGTTGCTAATATAGATACTATTTGCATAACTAAGTCCCAAAATAACATGAATTAGATTCCAATTTTCCCTCGAAATCGATGGTATATGACATACTATGGTTCGTCTACCTTGCCACGTCATCAACACGTGTTTGCCATGTAAGTGATATTTTGATATTCTTGTCACATCATCCACTGATAATTGAGATGCCACATCATATACCACATAACCATTCCTACTCAAACTTGCTCGTTAATCCATGGGATTGATTATGTCCTCTTGAAAATCTTACCTTCAATTTTCCTTTGCTCCTAACTGTCTTATTTGATGTAGCAATTCAAAATATGTTGGAATTGGCATTTCAAACTCTACACTATACATATTTAAAACACTAAAGTCATGAGTATAATAAATGCTTGTTACCATAAAAAAAATATATATATATATGATTGAAGCTGGTAAAATTAATATTCGAAACTTAAAAATTAAATAGAAACTGAATCTAAACCTTAGAAACAAAAGTAGTGTCAATTTTAAATTACAAGTACTAAATAGAATCTATTTTAAAACTTTAGAGATCTCTTAAAGATGTAATTTTACCCTTAAATTTATTAAATAAAATTTTATTTTGTTAGAAAATGATCACCTAAACCTCTTATATTGTCAATAATTGACTGATAATGAATTGTTTAATTCAACTAGAAAAAGATGACATTTCAGACTTTCTACAAAATTAAAGATTTAAAAAGAAATCAACTTTTTTTTCCCTCCAACTCATAATATATAGTATAGAATGTCAATTATTTCCTTGCCAGAATCTCACCTTTTTATTTTATTTATTATTTGTGTGTGTGCGAGATGACTCAGCAAATAATGAAATAGTATATACATATTTTTATTTTTGAAAAAAAGTACATAATGAAATAATAATTAAATCCCATTACTAATTTTAGTTTAAAAAGTAAAATTAATAGATCTCAACCGTATCATAGCACATAATCAATATATTATTTCCTCAATAATATAACCAATTGTACTTTTAGAAAATGCTTTCTTAATGACCAAAATCTTTTATTATTTTTTTTTCATGAAGATTTAAACTTTAGAATTTTCCTATTAAAAAAATTAAAAATCTTTTTTTTTAGCACGTTATTAATTAAAATTAAAAAATATATATATTTGATGATGATTAAAAACATTACACATGAATCAAAGTGGCCATCAAAGTATTTTTAATGGAGTACTCAATTAGTTTATATTTGAAAACTTTAAATTTAGAGGTTTTTTTTTAAACATAAATTTAGAGGTTAGCTATGATTTAAATCATATTAAATATAATATAATATAATTATATACATTTTTAATTTTTCAATGCTTTCATTTTCAAATTTTAAATTGGATAAAGTTTATGGTTTTTCTTTAGTAAAGTTATCAATAAATATAATGGTATGAATAAATTGTACTTTTTAAATATTTTGTTTTTAAATTTGTTGAAAACCTACTTGCAAGAGAATAAACTTATTATTGTCTCCCCTATTTTAATATTTAATTCTAAATTTAGATATTTAGTAGATATTTAAATGATTTTATTTTCTGAAATTACATATTTTAATTTATTTTATTTATTCTTGATAACTATTAAACTTTGTTCAATTTTAAATTTATGAAACTAATATTACTTGAAACTTTTATTCATTCTTTTCATATGGCTTCTTTTATTTGTTTTATTTATTTATTTATAGTACGAACAATTCCAATAAACAGCAAATATGGGAAAAAAAAGTTATTAATAGAATTTAAAAACTGCGTTTACTTTTCATTTTTATATTTCATTGAGGAACTTTTCAACTTTATTTTCCCATGATTCTTTTCAAACTTTTCTGAAATTTTTTTAGGCTAAAAAAATAAAAAGAGCATCAATTCAAACACCAAAATCTTCCTGAGAGCAATATTTATATTAAAACTATTAATCATGCACTTTTTTCCCCTGATAAAATATATATAATGTTTTCAACTTTTCTCAACATGATTAATGTGTCGGTTAGATATCCTATAAATAATTTAACACATATTTCCTTAAATTTTTTAATTTATTAGTAATTTAATCATGTTTCATATGATATAAGGACACGTCCTCTCTTTGAATCCTTGTATTGTCATTTTTTTCCCATAAGTTAGATATCATTTAAATGATTATTAATTTAAGTTTTTTATTAATTGATAATTTAATCATGTCTCACCATCAAAACCATCACTCCAATTTTCTCTTCACCCGAGTCTGCAGTAACAGTAAAATTAAGATTAAACCCTAAATTAATCATTTTCATGTTTTATTTTATTTTTATCTTTAAATGTTAAAGCATTTTGTTTGGTTTTGTCTTTTTAACATAAAGCATTGTGTTTCTTATCTTATTAATTTACATAAAATTTTGTTTTGATTATTGTCTAATAAAATCTTGAATTATTATTGACTCAAACATAGTTTCAATAAATTAATAAATTGTACTAAAATAATAATAATAAGTTAATAAATTAATATCTTCTTTTAGACTCTACCAACAAGTATGGCGACAATAGACATAATCCTTCCTTATACATATTGTAATTAGGAGCATAAAAAGTATAAACAAAATCGCCCGTTCGCTAGGGGAGGGGTAATTCATGGTATATAATTGAGACACTTATTTTCATTATATTGTATGAAGCATTTTAGGTGAAATCAAAAGCAATGTCAGGAGGGTTGTGCCCAATATTTAAATTTCTATCCACATGTCGACGTTTTCATATGTCCATGGATCCAACCTCAACATAGGGTTAATGGAAATTTTTATTGTATTGGAAAAAAAATCGAAAAAATATATAAGAAAAAATTTTAACAAAATATCACTAATGTAGACATAATATTAATAGTAGTAATATTTTTACTATTTAAAAAGGTTAAAATATTTATGCGTTAATTTAAATACTTGTTGAATTTTATTATTTTTGTACTTTTTTTTAGAAATATTTATGGGCATTGACATTTTAATGATATTTTCATCAACATTTTCATAAAATTAAAAACTCAATATTTCTATTGACATCCATATTTAAAATTCTAGATATGTCCAAGTGGCCAATATCATACCCATTGTAAATATTACATGAGACTAATTATACATTCCTTATATTTAAACACTTAACATTGTATATAAAACATTGTATATAAAGAAGAGGACATGGCTCGCCGGACTTGGTAGAGTTAGAAAGAAGTTTTGTGTGCGTTGGTTTGTGAAATAAGGAAGAAATGGGAGAAGTTGCAGGGAATGAGGTTTTGGAAGCTGAAACTCACATATGGAACCACATCTTCAGCTTCATCAACTCCATGGCTTTGAAATGCGCCGTCCAACTCGGCATTCCCGACACCATCGCTCACCATGGCCGCGGCCCCATGTCCCTCTCTCACCTCGTTTCAGCCCTTAAACTTCACCCCGAAAACTCCCAATACCTCCATCGCTTAATGCGTATACTGGCTCACTCTGGCTTCTTTACGGCACACAAAAATGACAAAGAACAAGAAGAAGCATACTCCCTTACCAGCTCATCTCGTCTTCTCCTCAAATGCAACCCTTCCTCTCTATCTCCTTTGTTGCTTTCCATGCTTGACCCATTCCTCCTGCAGCCATGGCAGCTTCTATCCGCCTGGTTCCATAGCCATGATCGAACCGCATTTAAGATGGCTCATGGAAAGCAGTTCTGGGAGCACATGGCCAGCAAGCCACGAGATGGGGACGTTTTTAATGCAGCCATGGCCAGTGATGCGAGGCTGGTGACAAGTGTTTTGTTGGGACAATATAAGAACATCTTTGATGGAGTTAAATCGCTGGTGGATGTGGGAGGTGGCACTGGAACTGTGGCGAGAGTCATTGCTGATGTCTTTCCACAAATACAATGTGTTGTGCTTGATCTTCCCCATGTGGTGGCTGACTTGGAAGGAAGCCATAACTTGACATATCTTGAAGGGGACATGTTTCAAAGCATTCCGTCTGCGGATGTACTTCTATTGAAGGTAAGACAGAAAACTAGAAAGATATATTATTTAGTTTTGATGACCAAATATTTTGTTAAAGATCTACTCCTCTCATTGCTGATTGAGATGGAAGTCCATGAAAATTGATATGGTATCAGAACCTAAGTTTAAAACGAGTATCTAGTAGAAAATGAGATTCAGCCAAGATTGATGAATCCAAAAGAGGTACCATCTTGGAGGACTTGTTAAGGATCTACTCCTCTCACTGTCAATAGATTTTGAAATGGAACCCCAAGAAAATTGATACTTTTTGTTATAACGTCGCAAAAACTACTTTTTTTTTGTAGTGTTATTATAGTGTAATGTCATTGATATTTAATGCAGTGGATATTACATGATTGGAGCGATGGAGAATGTGCAGAGATATTGAAGAAATGCAAAGAGGCAATCACGAGTAATGGAAAGAAAGGGAGAGTGATTCTAATTGATATGGTGGTAGGCAATAAGAAGGTGGATGGGGACGGGGACAGGGACGGGGACGATATGTTTATTGAAACTCAACTCTTTTGGGACATGTTAATGATGGTGAACGTAGGTGGAAAAGAACGGGATGAGAAAGAGTGGGTTCAGCTCTTCGATAAGGCTGGATTTGGTGGCTACAAGATCTTCCCAATTCTAGGTTTAAGGTCTCTCATAGAGATTTATCCATAGTGATCTTTCCTTGAATTATATTTGTCGATTCTCAAGTTTCAACTATTTTCATGTATGTTTAAGGTGTGTTTGTGATTATGTGTGGATTGTTGTAGTCTAAATAAAAGTTGGCTTGTTGTGATATGTTTGGTAAACTATGTTTTTTTTTTTTCCAATTGAAACTTGTTATGAAAATGTATTCACATCTATTTCAAATCTAATTATTTCAAGTCTAATTATTTAAAGAAATTATTTAAACTATTGTAAAAAATAATCTTTCAAAAGAAATTTTCCTCTAAATCATACCTTTTCAATTCTTTAAAAGACAATTTTCAATGAAATGAATGTTAAGAGAGCGTGTGTATATGTATATGTATATATATGTAACATAATACATTTAAAAATATAAAAATATAAGAAATTAATAGTGCGATTGAGATGATTTTAAATAAAGTATTTAAAATACAATTACTTTTTTGTCTAAAAGAAGAATTATGAATTAGGAAGGTGTTTTATATAGTCTCCTATCTAATTTTAGATAACTAAAAGTATTCTTTAAAAAAAAATCAGCCAGTCATGAATATAAAATAATTTTTAAAAATTTGATTGCTTTAAACTCTATTTAAAGAAATATGAAATGAATGTCGAAAAAATTTACATTAAAATGATTGAGACTCTCAGTAGTTTAAGCAATTTGAGGGATATTGATTACCAAAATAAAGTGTAAAAGAATATTTAAATTAAAAAAATATTCCAAATTCACCCTAAATTCAAGCTTTTAAATATACACTAAATTAGAAAAATCTTCATGAGGATTAAAATGTAAATTTACCCACTACAACAATTGAGATGTTTGATGTCAGCCTGTCATTTATAATCAATATCAGTTGACTAAATGATGTTCGTCTTGTGACTTGACTTCTGATTCTCCATAAATTTGATATACAATGTCAATTTATAATTGACATTAAATAGTCAATTAATGTCGGTAAAGAAACGTCATGGTAGAAAAAGAAAAATTTGCAGCCATGATTCGGTTGAAAATGACATCACTTTCATTCAAATTTATAATTGCCATTAAAACTTGTATAAGAAACTGACATTAAAAGTGTTACATTAATGTCGGTTCAGAAACGATATGCTAGGAAAGGAAAAATTAGCGTGCGATGGAGTTCAAAATGATGTCGTTTGAATAAAGCAAAAATGACGTCGTTTGGATTTAAATATATTTTCCCGCCTATTGTGCTGAAAACAACGTCGTTTCCATTTAAGAAAAACGACGATGTTTGGTTTATGCAGGGACATGGAACGACGTCGTTTTCTTAAAGGAAAAGTAATGTCGTTTTGTCAGACCAATTAAAACTAAATGTGGAAATGACGTCATTTTGTGCCATAGTTTTAAAAGCATTAGGGCTTCAAAACAACGTCGTTCTGAACTCCCTTTTTTTTTAATCCCTTTCAGTATTCCAGCCATATAGAGTGAACAGAAGGAAAATTTTCCTTTGCCTCTTTCTTGGAAGTCAATCCCAGCATGAGACTTGACTTTCTCCTCCCATGTGCTTTTGTTGCATTTGAGCACTACATTCAAGTCTACTACGATCCCACCTCACGAAAATACTATTGTAGTTTTCAAAAGTACCTTTATTAGGGCTTATATGAGGTTAGTATTCTTTTTCACCCTTATTTTATACGTTGAGCATCCATTTTGGTTATCATTTTTCAGTTCCACCCTCTTTTTAAGCCTTCTCTATACAAATTACATTTCAGCCCTAAATTCAAGTCTATAAATATATATATAATATTAAAAAATAGAATAATAATATTACATTAGATAGACTCTTTAATATTAATTATTTAAATATTTACAATATATTCATACTTTTCATATGGCTCTTTTTATCTGTTTTATTTTTTTATTTATAACACTTTCAACAAATGGCAAACATGCTTCATTTATACACACACACATATATTACTAGAATATCAAAATTGCGTTTACTTTTCATTTTTATATTCCATGGGAGAATTTTTAAACTTTATTTTCCATGATTATTCTCAAACTTTTCCGACCATTTTTTAGGCTAAAAAAATAAAAGGAGTCCATCAAATCAAACACCAAAATCTTTCTGACAGTAATATTTATTATAAAACGATTAATCATGCATTTTCTTTCTTGAAAATACAACTTCCTTTTAGAAACTACGTCAAAAGTTTTAAAACAGAAACTAAAATATCAATTTTAGAAGTAGAAGTATAGCGATCGAAACAAACATTTTAAAAATACATGAACTAAAATAAACCAAATTAAAATACGGAGATCAAAATAAAAATTTTAAAAATATAGAAACTAAAATTAAAAGTACAAAGACACATTTTAAAAATAGTATTTTAACCCAAAATATATATAATTTCAATGTGATTAAGGTATCAAAACGGTAGGATCCATTAACATATTCACAATTCACATGGTTGATCAAACGCAAACAATTTCTACGGCAGTAATAACTGACATCTGTTTCTGACCAAAAAGTCATGAGTTTTACTCCCCCACCCCACTTGTACTAAAAAAAAATTTACACAAAATTTTGTTTTGATAATTCTGTAATAAAAATATTGAATTATATTGTAGACCCAAACATGGTTCAATCGGTTAAGGAATTAATAACGTCTTTTAAATTACTCTACCAAATTAAATAAGTATGATGACAATAAAGATAATTCTTCCATATATATATTGTTAGGATTAGTGCAAGGAGTAAAAACCAAAGTCTAATGTTAGCTAGGGAATGGGGTGATACATGAAATATAGCTGAGACAATTTTCTCTATTTGTAGGAAATCTTTTGGGTGAAATAACCAAAAGTATAGTTATTAAGGTTATGCATAGGCTATTAAATTTCAATCGACATTATGTCCATAAGTTCTACATGGAGATGAGGTGAATAGTTTATATAATACTGCAAAAAAAAAAAAAATCGAAAAATATATAAGAAAAAATACCATCAAGATATTACAGATGTGGATATAATATTAATACTAATAGTTATTTTATCCAGGATCCATAATATATATAAAATTACGGACGTGGAAGAAATGTTTTTGGACAATTTTATCCTTAGTTTTAAAATTATCTTTATTAAATTTTTATTTTTATTTCAAATCCTCCGCTCTCCTCCCACGTTGCTTCTTCTCTCTTTTATGTAAGGATTTCGTCTTTTTTCTTTTTCTTTTTAATACGTTCATTTAAGTTGATTTATTAATTAATAATTTTAGGTTTAAGTATAATCAATAGGGGTGTAATAATTTCGGGTCGGGTTGGTTTCCTCCAGAAACCGAACCGACCCGAACTCAAGTCGGTTCGGGTCGGGTCGAATTCGCTTTTTTTCGTTTTAATAGAGCATGAGTTCTTAAGATTTTCTTCTTCATCCTGAAATCTCTTCAAAATCAAAATGTCCCGTGGAATTTGAAGAAACCACAAAATTACTGTTTAAAAACACATTGTGATTTTGATTTAGAAACCCACTTCTATTTTTTATTTTCTTCTTCATATGTATATATGAAAACCCACAAAAACCTACTTCAAATCTTTCTCTTCTTCAAATTTTAAAACTCAAAAAAATTAGATCTTCCTCTTCAGATCTTCTTTCTATGGAAACCCACAAAAACCCATTACTGATCATCATCAAAACCGACCTCCACAAAATCCACTTCAAAATAAGAACCATCTATTCGTTGCTTGTCGCTCCGTCGTTAATCTATTAGCTCGTCGGCACGTAGAGAGGTCACCGTCGCCATCGCCGTCATGCATCTCCTTTGTCGCCGCTGTAGATCTTCTCTCTTGCCACCATAGTGGATGTTCTTACCGACACATTTGGAGAGGGAAGGATAGAGGAGAGAGAGAAGAACGGCGCAACCACCGAGGAAAGTAGGGTTATGTGACGGTAGGTTACCTTTATTTTATAAAGGTCGGTTGGTAGAACCGAACCGAACCAACTAGATTTGTATTTTAACCGATCCGACTAACCGAATTGGATCGGTTCGGTTCGCATACTTACACCCCTAATAATCAATAATGGAACTTCAAAAGTTATATTATTTTAATGGTTAAATAATGTCTAAAGGAAAAACGTAAAAGTATATTTAAATTAGGTTAAAAAACACATTTTGTCATTGTACTTTTACTAAAGTAATAATTTAGTCCGTGAACTTAGTTGGTAACAATTTAGTCTCAGTACTTTCATTAAAGTAGCATTTTAGTCCCTAAACTTTAGCTTGTAATGATTTTAGTCCCTGTAGTTTAAAATTTGTAACAATTTAGTCCTTATCGTAACAAACTTTATTAAAACTAAGTGTTAAATTTATTTTATCATATAAGAATTTAATCTTTCTAATTTATAAACATATTTGGTCCCTCTTAGTTTATCCACATATATAAACATATTTGGTCCCTCTTAGTTTATCCATATATATATATATATGTATATGAAACTTAACAAAAAAAAGTTTCATGAATTTACATCTTTTCATATTCACGCATGGAAAATTTACGAGGGAACATATTAGATTGAATTGGGAGCAGTTCAAGAAGCAATATGAGATCATATATGTTATGGGTTAAATGAGACGAGATTCGGCCAGCGATGAAATAGTCGGCCTAGACCAATTGTCGAGGAAGCCCAATTGTACAAAACAGCAAAGCAAGGACCGAAAAGCCTAAACAACGCGGGCCGACCAGGGCTCAGCCCCGACCCTTACTCGGCGCTGAGCAGTTCTCGACCAAACGGTGGAGAACCTTCTTCCGTCCTCTCCGGTCATGTGAGGCGTCTCAGTCCAAGGGTTCTTGCGACTCCACAACTCCATCAACTGTGGGCTGGACAAACCTAACATGGAAGATCTCGAAGAAGATTTTAATGGAGAAACTACTATAAATAGGACAGCAAGCTAAACCCTAGAGGTAAGCTCAAACCACCGTAATTCGTGTGTTATATACGACTTCTCCGTCTCTAACTTAAGCATTGAAGCCCATGTGACAAGAGTCACACCGGTCTAGTGCTATTTGGTTTTGCAGGTTTATCGGTCCCATAATTATCGAAGTTTGGTGCGAATTTGATGAGATCCCTGGATGTCAAATTCCTATATTAACAATTGGCACCGTTTGTGGGGACGATTAGGAAACCGAACAATATATCGACATGAATTTTGGGGGGAGTCCACGACGCTCTAACGTGTGGACAGGTTCCGATTAGGAAGCCGAGAAGAAGGCTGAATTTGGATGTCCCTTCACTAGAAGGGGTCGAAGGTGAGACGAGTGGACAGGTTCCTGAGCAGGTTCTAATAGAGACCGATCGATAGGTTCAAGAACGAAGGAAGGGATTAATTGAGGTTCTAGGACAACCAGAGGACAAATTGGATGCCGTAGAGGAGAAGGTTGAGGGGATGTATCAGAATATAACCCTACTCCTCCAACAACTGGAGCAACAGGAAGTGAGGCTACCTCCGCTTATCAAGAACCCACGAAAGGGCAAATCCCCATAATTCGAAGAGGTTGAGGAGTCAACCAATAATGCTCAGAGCAAACTGAAATTAGAAGGAAACGACAAATCGCGAACCGGTGTCTTTGGTCGATCAGGTTAATAGCCGACCACAAGACAATGCCTGCGGTACGTAATGGGGGCAAGGGCCGTCAAGACGATCAAGAAGGCCTCGGGCCTATCGATCTCAACAAAGAAAAGCGGCTGGATCCAATCGAACCGTTAGAAAAGCTGCTAGGAAGTTAGAAGGAGAAGGGGTTCGATATTGAAGAGTTGGTCGACCAGGTAGACTCTCCGTTTACGGAAGAAATACTGGAACCTCCGAAGTTTAAACTCCAAGTCATAAAACAATACGATTTTATAAGAGGACTTGGTCTGGCAAGAGTTAGAAGAGTTTGTTTTGTGAAATAAGGAAGAAATGGGAGAAGTTGTAGGCGAGGAGGTTTTGGAAGCGGAGACTCATATATGGAACCATATCTTCAGCTTCATCAACTTCATGGCTTTGAAATGCGTCGTCGAGCTCGACATTCCTGATGCCATCGCCCGCCACGGCCACCGCCCCATGCCCTTCTCTCACCACGTTTCAGCCCTTAAACTTCACCCCCACAACTCCCAATACCTTCATCGCTCAAGGCGTATACTAGATCACTATGGCTTCTTTACCAAATACAAAAATGGCAAAGAAGAAGAAGCATACTCCCTCACCAACTCGTCTCGTCTTCTCTTCAATCATAATCATTCCTCTCTATCTCCCTTGTTGCTTTCCCTGCTCGACTCGTTCCTCTTGCAACCATGGCAGCTTTTATCCGCTTGGTTCTATAGCCATGATCGAATCCCGTTTAAGATGGCTCATGGAAAGCAGTTCTGGGAGCACACAGCCAGCAAGCCACAAGATGGGGACACTTTTAATGCAGCCATGGCCAATGATGTGAGGCTGGTGACAAGTGTTTTGCTCGGACAATATAAGAACATGTTTGTTGGAGTTAAGTCGCTGGTGGATGTGGGAGGTGGCATTGGAATTTTGGCAAGAGTCATTGCTGAGGCCTTTCTGCAAACACAATGTGTTGTGCTTGATCTTCTCCATGTGCTGACTAACTTGGAAGAAAGCCATAACCTCATATATCCTGAAGGGGAAATGTTTCAAAGCATTCCTTTGCCAATGTACTTCTATTGAAGGATAGAGAAAAAAAAAACTACAAATATATATTATTTAGTTTTGGGGACCAAATGTTTTGTTAAAAGGATCTACTCCTCTCATTGTCGATTGAGATGGAAGTTCATGAAAATTGATATGGTATCAGAACCTAATAAGGTTAAAGTGAACATCTAGTAGAAAAAGGGGATTCGGCCAAAATTGATGAACTTGAAAGAGACACCATCTTGAAGGGCATGTTAATGATCTACTCCTCTCACTGTCAACTGATTTTGAGCTGAAACCATGAAACTTGATACTTTTGTTGTTATAAAGTTGTTGAAACTATTTTTTTTTAGTATTATTAAAGAGTAATGTCATTTGATATAAATGCATGATTGGAGCAATGGACAATGTGTGGAAATACTGAAGAAATGCAAAGGTGCAATCACGGGTAATGGAAAGAAAGGGAAAGTGATTCTAATTGATATGGTAGGCAATAAGAAGGGGGGCAGGGATGGAGACGACATGTTTATTGAAACTCAACTCTTTTGGGACATGTTAATGATGGCGAACGTAGGTGGAAAAGAACAAGATAAGAAAGAGTGGGTTCACCTGTTGCATAAGGCTGAATTTGGTGGCCACAAGATCTTCCCAATTTTAGGTTAGAGGTCTCTCGTGGAGTCTTTGAATTATATTGGTCGATTCTCAAGTTTCAAACGATTTTCATGTACCTTTGATGTGTGTTTGCGATTATGGGTTGATTGTTGTAATCATAAAAGTTGGCGTGTTGTTATAAGTTTGGTAAACCAAATTTTTTTTTAATTGAAACTTGTTATGAAAATGTCTCTCCATTTCAAATCTAATTATTTAAAGAAATTATTTAATCTTTCAAAAAAAAATTTTGCTCTAAATTATACCTTTTCAATTCTTTTAAAAGGCAATTTCAAATCAAAAGACTGTTCTAGTTTTCAAAAGTAATTTTATTAGGTTTATACAAGGTTAATATTCTTTTTTAGCCTTATTTTATACATTGAGGGTTGATTTTGGTTCTGTTTTACTGATTTTGATTTCGTTTTACTGATTTTTTTGGTTTCATCCTCTTTTTAAGCCTTCTTTACAATATATTATGTCACATTTCAACCCTAACTTCAAGTCTAGAGAGACCCCACTTCACGAAAAGATTAAAGATTGTTGTTTTTGAGAGTACCCTTATTTTACTGTCCAGGTTAAATTTTTTTTTAGCCTTATTTTATACTTTTAGCGCAATTTTGGTACTGTTTTACTGATTTTTGTTTTGTTTTACTGATTTCTTTTGGTCACCTTTTCTTTCAGCCCTCTTCATGTATATATATACAACAATAACATTATATTACATAGGCCTAAAAAATTAGGGAGTAGTTGCAAATCTTGTCTAATTAATATAAAATATTAGCCTTTGCGGTATAAAATATAATAATAATATTACATTACATATACTCTTTAATATTAATTATTTAAAGTATTTACAATATATTCATACTTTTCATATGGCTCTTTTTATTTGTTTCATTTTTTTATTTATGACACTTTCAACAAATGGCAAATGTGCTTCATTTAAATATATATATACACACATATATATTAATAGAATATCAAAATTGTGTTTACTTTTCATTTTTATATTCCATGGAAGAATTTTTAAACTTTATTGTCCATGATTATTTTCAAACTTTTCCGACCATTTTTTAGGCTAAAAAAATAAAAAGAGTCCATCAAATCAAACACCAAAATCTCCCTGACAGTACTATTTATTATAAAACTATTAATAATGCATTTTCTTTAGAACTTACATTATGCATAAAGTCTATATAAAATAGGGATTAAATGATCATTTTTAAAATTGTAGGGTCAAAACAAACATTTAAAAATACAGAGATTAAAATGAACTAAATTAAAGTACGGGACCAAAAGAAAAATTTTAAAAGTACAAAAGTTAAAATAAACTAAAATTAAAAGTGAGCAAAATAGTATTTTAACTTAAAATATATATAATTTTTGGGACTTCTCTTTATCGTATCAAAACTATATCATCCATTAAGATATTCACAATTCACATGCTGTTGAACCATGAGATAATCATTTTTTCATATTTTATTTTATTTTTATCTCTATATTTTAAAGCATTTGCTTTCTTATCTATCAATTTACGTGACATTTGCTAACATAAATTTGGTTTAGTAGTAATTGGCATTTGTTTACTGTTGATTCGAATATAGTTTAATCGGTTGTCATAAGTAATGTGACAACAAAGATAATCCTTCCTTACATATATTTGTTAGGATCAATGCAAGGAGTACAAACCAAAATCGAGTTAGGAAATGGGGAATGATCCATCATATATAGGTGAGATAATTTTTTCAATTAGTATTGTTGGGATGGAATCAAAACACAATTGAAAAATAAGAAAAGAAGGAAAAAAAAAAATAAAAGGTTGCAGTTTTTGGGCCAAATAAAACAAAAGGCCCAAACATAATTTTTGCCTTCTTCACCAAGTTTGTTTTTTAGAAGGGTACATAGCCGTGAGTGAAAAAAGGGGGGGACTCAGTTGTGTTGTTGCACAACATTGAAGGGGGCGGCAGTGGTGCTTTTGGTAGAGAAGACAAAGGAGAATAAGGGTTTTGTAGTACGTCGTCGGCAGTCCGTTTTCTATAGGTTAGTGAGGTTTCATTCTATATTCCTAAGTAGTTATTGTCGTAGTGTTTAGAAGCTATGTGGTCATTGTTGTGACATCTAGAGAGAGTTTTGTAGAACGTTTGTGAGACCCATGATATTTATCCCAATATCATAGTCGAACTTGTTGTCGCGGAAGACTGGATGTAGCATAAAGTTGGGGTGAACCAATATAAATTTGATTGTTTCATTTCTATGCTTTCTCTATTTTTCTTATTATTGTGTGTGATTTAGTTTTCGTTGACAAATTGTGGGAGGAGAAAATATTAAGGGTAAGTAAATTTTTCCAACCAGTATGAAATCTTTTAGTTGAAATAACCAAAAGCAAATTCATGAAAGTTATGCATAGGCTATTAAATTTCAATTGATATTTACCTATGTTCATAGGTTCTACATTGAGAGACGAAGTCAATCAATATTTCTATAATATTGTAAAATAATAATAAAATAAAATAACGAAAAAATATATAAAAAATATCAACAAGATATCAGAGATGTGACATAATATTAATACTAATACTTTTCTTTTATCTATAATCTATATAAAGGTACAGACGTGGAAGGAATTTTTTTTTTGGACAATTTTATCCTTAATTTAAAAATTTATGCATAAATTATCCTTTCTATGTCATTATTTTTTATTTAAAATCCTCCACTCCACCCTCCCTCTCACGCTTCTTCCCTCTCTTTAAATAAGGGTTATTATTCCTTTTTTTAATCTTTTTAATACCTTCTTCTAAGTTTCTTTATTAATTAATGATTTTATATTTAAATATAATCAATGATGAAACTTCAAAAGTTAAAAGTATTTTAATGGTTAAATAATGTTTAAAGGAAAAAAGTATAAAAATATATTGAAATTAATAATACCTACATTCATGAAATTGAAATGACAAATATCCAAAATGTTTGAATATAAGAGAATTTTTTATATTTATTTTTAAAAATAATTTTAAAAAATTGATAACTATAAAATGTAGATTAAAAAACTACCATATTTTGAAAAATACTTTTATACAATTTATTTCGCTATAAAATTTAGGGTTCCTTGCAAATATGACAAAAAGATTACATAAAATTAATAAAATAGCACTGACATTCTAAAATTTCAAATATAGCAATTTTTTACCAATTCACGGGGCCCACATTGTTAAAAGTCCTATTTACCCTACAAGCTCAATATTAACATGTAAAAGCCCAAAGATGGTAGCCCAGACCAATAGGAAACCTAATTTTTCAAACTCCATCATTTCCGTCTGTTCGACTTCCATCATTTCCCTTTCCGTTCGACTTTCATCCTTCACCACTACTGTTTCATTCAAACCATCAAAACAAAACCTAATTTTTCAATTTTCACTCTGATTTTCGTTCGATTTCCGTCAATAATGTCATCTCCAACTCATTTTCTTTCGTTCGATTCTTATCCAACCTTCGAGCTTCTGATTTCCAGCCCAAATATCGTTTGATTTTCGTTCAATTTCCATCAAGAATGTCATCCCCAACTACCATTTTCGTTCGTTCGATTCTCATCCAACTAGCAAGGAGCTACAATATTTACCAAATTTTGATTTTCGTCTGATTTCCGTTCTTTCGTTCTTTCTGATATCGTTCGATTTCCGTTCGATTTCTTTTGTTCTCCACCATTGTATTTTGTTTTCCCGCCCTTCCAAATTTTTTAGTTTTAATTTGACGGTTTTCGGCGTAACCTCCTTTGAAGATTTTTGGTGTAACCTCCCATCGACTTTGGTAACTTATGTAAGTATATGTCCACGTTTCGAAATCTTTATTTTGGCTTCATTTTGTTGGGCTTTCAGTTTTCAGCATCGATTTACATTCTTCCATTCCATTTTTGCTTCCAGTTTCTTTCAGTAGAGGTATATATGTTTCCATTTCTCTTTTTGCTGAACTCCTAACAGACAATGCTTCCATTTCGATTTCTGGAATAAGTAGAGATATATATGTTTGCTTCCATTTCGATTTCCATTTACTATTTTATCTTGGTGCTGAAATCATCCAACTCTATCTCATTTTCAAATGTTATTCTTTGATACTCTGTCTATTTTCCACTGTTACTTTTTAGCTCTTGGGGGCACTTGGATCTCTTACCACTTTCTAATTTTCATTTTTTTGATATATCCTGATAGATCCTTTATTTTTTTTAATACGTTGGCACCACTGGCTTAGCATATTTGAGAAATTAAACATACTACTAATTTGCATATATGCTCTTGATATATGATTGATATATATATGATATATAACTGATTGACTTCTGATATACTATTGATTTACTTCTGATATACTAATGATTCATAGATATACTCCTAATA